GTGTAGAAAACATCGTCCGCGGCGATCGTTTTCACTGTAGAACGCGTGCAACCAGTGGCGCACACCTCACGAGTCAAGGGGGTCAGTCGAACCCCAGAAAAAAATTGGGTGGTTAAAAATATTTGCGATTTTCTAAATGTCATTTCAATTCTGAACACGTGAAACTTGATTGGACCTACGCTCGTGCCTTAAGTGCCAAGTTCCACTACCTCAAGCTCCAAAATTACCTTTATCGGAGTTGCTTCGCTAATGTGTATGGGTGGGTGGTTGGTATTAATATAATATGTCCTAACCCATGTCGGTAAGACTGCGTCGGATGTCGTCAGAGGAGCTTGTCGTGTGTTCCACCATAAACTTTTCAAACGTTTGTTTTCGAAACTGTTACACGTCGAGATTTAAAAGGAACGAAAAATTGGACGAATTTACGCAGGACATTCGATTACTGAACGCTCGGCTAGTTTACGTTAAACATTTCGCATTCGCGAATGATACCCCCCCGACAGATGTGAAATATTTCGAATATCAAACAAATAGCGTAGTATTCCACTGTACCTGTTACATACGTTTTCAATGTTGAATCGTAAGGCGATTTCGACGTTAGTCTTGTAAAATTAATAAGAAACATTTACCATTGCGATTTGAAAAATCTCCGCTAGTAGTTTTCTTAAGATAAATCTCCTTTTCTACGTCTTACGATTTGACATTATTTTTAAACAAACCGAATCTATCTATTATTAGATTGATTTCATCGCCGAATTTGTATTATTTTATTGTCATTTCGATTGCTATACGATTGCACTACTGTTACGATTCATTGTATTTATTGATCAATTTGGCAATGTAGTAAAATAATATTTGAAAACTATTAAAGTACGAAAAATATGACATAGCTATAAAATAATAAATAATAGATAACCAAATAACTGATAGTGGTTTTAGAAAAACCCTTCAAAGCCAAATGTTGATTATATCAATATTGTAAAAGTAGTATTCGAGTATAATGTATGCTGTGGTTTTGGGAAACATTGGATTTCTGAACGAAAGTGTTTATAAAAACCGGTTTCGCCAATTAAATTTTGAATGCAGAGGTCTTCGTGAAGAACATCTTCTTTTAGGGAACAAGAAAAAACTATTTTCTCGAACATTTTGTACAAAGTTATTTAATTCTATCTCAATACGTTCAATGTTAAATAACGTATGGCTAATAATATTTTTTAAAATGTGTACATTGGTACAACCGAATATTTTATTCATGTATTTAATGTTGTTTTTACCCTTCCATTTACTATCATTGTGTATGTTTATGAATATCAATCGTTTTCATCTTAATTATTTTTATTTTTCAAGTACATAAATTATACGATGTTATAAATTGCAAGGCTTATAAATATGTAAATAAATAGATATTGTAATTTTATGAATTTATTTTAGCAAACATACTCCATCATCCAATTCTTTGTAAATTATTATTTTTCATATAGAAACATCCTCACATAGTAACTTATTTTTCATACTTATAAGCTATAAACAAATATTTTATATTTGTGGTATCTAAGCATTACGTTTTTCAAACGGAGACACTAACGGGACCTTGAATGTCACGGCACTTTTTTTTGTCGTGTTGTAATGTCAACGTGTAAACTAATTTATTACAAATTCATTTGTGATTCAAACAAAGTTTGAATTCATACTTATTCGGGCTATTGCTGAAATTAAGCGAGATGAAATGTAAACTTTACAACTGTGAATTCATCTACAATTGCTTTAAATACAATTTTTTAAATTACAATGAGATTTAAAAACTTTTAAAATAGTTTTGCGGGGATCGGAGATAATCCTGAATTATTAAAGTATATTTGAAGTCATCACAATATTTGAAATTTGAACTTTAAATATTTAAATATTTTAAAGTTTACACGTTAAGATGCACTACGAATTATTTTAGCCGAATAACTTAAAAATTAAATTCGATATTTTAGGAAGTATGGGTATACCAAAATACATATTTTGAGAATATTTCAAATTATTTCCCTCTTTGTTCTGCGCATGCATTTTAAATAAATTACATTTTTTTTTTAATTGGCAACCCTAATATTTTCAACAACATTGAATATATTATTTCTTTCTATTAAATTTTTGTATTTTTTTTTTTTTTGTTATTACAATATTAACCAAACAAGAGCAAGTCGAAATTTGAATTTACCCATAATCCATTTTAAACAAAATGTTGATCAAATTCAGCGTTTTTACTCGAGATACTTTTGATGTTATTGAATTACTAATAATTTCTCATAGGCAATATATGAAGAAAAACTTATTATTCTGTATGGCTGACTGTTTTTAGCAGTACATATCGAGAAACTCAACGAAAATCACCGACTATAAAGAAAATCCGGTTCGAGTAATAGTAATATAACGTGTATGAATTATTGTTTGAATTTCATACTGGTTTTCAATCAATCAATTTATTTATCGTTTTTATATTCTGAACTATTTAAAACTTTATTCGATTATAAACCAGTCAATTCACAGTCGTTCCATTATTGATATATTTTTAATTTATATGTCAAAATAAATAACAGTGAAATAAGCTTATATTGTTATACGTTTCAGTGAATGATAAATACCGAGCTGCTCGATAATACGGAAATCGATATTCAGATAGGTTTTATCTACCCACACGATAAATTATATCTATAGACTTATGTTGATAAAATTAACGTGGTGCCTAAAATTGTGCGTATGGTCAAAATTGCATTAAAAATAATTATGCGAAGATTCGAATTTCGACTAGTTCAATAATAATTTTGATGTATATAATTATATATCCAGTGGTATCTCTTAACTTGACGTTAATGACGATCCAATAAAAGGTCGACCTTAAATATTCTTTAAGCGTAACATCATAAATGCATTAACTGTTGAACAGCATAACAGTGTTGACGGAATTCGATACCATATAGTATGTATAATAATATAATAATATTATATTGTTAGATTATTGTAAATATTCAATGTACCTACAAGTAGATTAGCCTTGATATATATCTGGGCTCTCTATATACAAGGCTACGGCACATGTAAAGTATTAAGAGCACAATAATGCCATTAAGATATTTTCACCGTTTTTTAAGTAAACACTAATTCATTTAGTCCGTGTATCCGATTTCGATTTTTATCTAATACGAGTATGGTTCGTTGTTCGCGCACGTCGGAAGCGAACCCCATTAGCCGTTTAAATATTATTTTATTGACAAGACATAAACAATTAAAAAAGCAAACATGAATAAAGAGAATAATATACGTATTGCTGATTATAGTGTCACAAACAACGTGATAAGCAAACAGTGCATTGCGTATTGTATTTCGATTGGAAACGACAACATATTTGGTAAATCTTAAAAAAATAAAGGACAAGCATACTCGAATGGCAATTTTCAATTAGGTTCTTCTTTTAAGTTTTGTGGGTCAGGAAGATGAATATTTATGAATGTACGACATTAGTTTCTTGCGGTTACACAGATTTTCACATAGTCTATAAGATTCGGACGTTTTAACAAATTTCGTTGAACATTAGACGTATAAGTAAAAAAAAAAAAAAAAATTAATTATATAAAAAGTAGTACTATTATGAATAATAAAACCTTATCCAACATTTGATCAAATATCTACTACGTTTGAAATGGGAAAATGTTTAATTTTCTTTACCATAAATAAATGAATAAATACAATTATGTATGAACATCATTATTCGAATTAAAAAAATGTATTTAACATATTAATACATTTTTATTAATTTAAAAGTTATTAGTTGCACATTGTGTAATGTTTCCAACCAACATAAATGATCCATTATCCCTATTTGTTATCGGCTGATATCCAAGGGTTAATTATGTCATATACATATTTAGTTCAAAATCATTACTCACAGAACGTATATTAGATGTTTGTTTATGACTTAGTGTCCAAAATAGACGCGAACCATCACCAATTTCCTGAGCCGTTGCACGGTAATAATATATCTTATGGAGGAAATTTCCATCTTGAAGGCTTTATCGCACGCGCCATCGATAGTATCCACAATTTAATGCCATTTATTAAGGTATTTTGGCTGCAAAACAGTCGCGTTATAGATGGCATTTATTTTTGTGTGGCTAATATACGTGTAACCGTCAGTACGTCGTGGCTAGACGCAGACATAACATCGCTTTGTTTTTACTTTACATTTTTTTTTTTTTTTCGAGGCTGGGAAAACGCGGAACGATCCTTGAGTGTTGGCGAGTAGCGCGGGATCTCGTTATGATGTGCAATACTGTTTTTTTTTTTTTTACTTCTATTATTATTGTTGTCCGTACGTTAAGTGTCGCATATCATTTGATTGAATATGTATTATTTATTATCATTATAATTTGGTGCTGACACATAATGAGCGTAAAATTTCCGGTATTATTAATAGTGTTTTGATAAGTTACCCTTCACCACCTGACAATCAGTCTTGTATTTAATGCATTTGATGTTAGTTTATGCAGTTAGAAAATGTAGTAGAATCACATCGTACATTTAATTTGTTTAAACCTTTAAATAATATAATTGTTGTTAATATTTATGACTTTCGCACGTATCATTATTGTGGTTTCAATAAATATCTGAATGTGCAGCGAACGACGTAATGCGCATATCTTATTTTTCACGGGTTTAACAGGGTCACTGCGAGAAACGTAATCGATGTGACTCTACAACGCATACATGGATAAATGTATACAAATATATTTGTAGACGTACATTACGGAATCGGTCCTGTGCTATATTATTTTATGTTGACTTTTACAAGGAAATAAAATTCACCGTGCGTTATTGTATATTATTATTATTATTTACGTGCACATCCAAAACCCCGTCTCGTTTACACATTTTTTCTTTCGACGAGCCTCATAAAATCCCATTTATTAAACCTCCTCGAAATGTATGTGTCAGCCGAAACGCGTCGAACGTAATAAGCTTGTATACGTGCCACCAAAATCTGCAGCGAACGCTTTCTCCTCCTCGTGTGTCGCCATATCATTCTCCTTATAATAATCGATATATATATATGTACATTACAATACGTACACCCTGATCCGACACATGAACGTATCGTTTATGTATGTATTGTATCGTCATCGCACAACAGTCCGAGTGAAACGTTTTCCTGCAGTACAATATTACATATATATATATATATATATATATATATATATATATATTCTCGTATATATATATGAATATACTATTTACCCGTTTCGAGTGCAAAATGTTTTCCTTACAGTTATTTTTCGTCTTTATCCTCCCCGTTTTAATGGCCGCATGAACCTCACGCCGATCGTATACACTATTTAGTATATAAATGTAAATCTCTCGCTCCGCGTATATAACGCGTATAGCAGTAATAATAATACGAAATAAATGTACGCGTACGCACAACAATATTATTATACGACGATGTGATGGCGGACGGACCGAATATTTTCCAATTGGAACGATGCTCATAAAACGCTCCCTTTGGACCACCATCACCCATTAATAATAATATGGTTTAAATTTTATGCACGAGGGCGAACCGAAACGACGCCTGATCCCTGTTGAGTCGAGACTCAAACGAAGATATATATCATTTTTATACAAGTATACAGTGAGACTCGTAAAACCTTGCATGCGAACGGAGCACGGCTATAATAATAAACGTCTAAATCACGTAGAAGATATTATCTATGTTTTATTTTTTTTGAATTTCGATGCCGTGAAATCAAATTCAATTCTCTAAATACGAAAATGTTTTTAGTACACGACTGCTGATGTACAATAATGAATGAGAGAATTCTACAATTTTAAATTTACTATTTACGTATATGTGGAAGTTTTGAAGAAACGAAAATAAAGCCGAGATAGGTAATCTTCATTGACGAAGGGAGTAATTATTCACGTGAGAAAAAAATTTTTGGAGAACAATTAATTATTTTCTTAGGCATTTTGTTGACTACTCAGTTTTATACTAAATGCTTTCGATGTTGGTTTGTATAGCTTATATATAATATGTGCTGTGGGCATAGGCATATGCGTACATTGGGTACTGGATGTGCTCGAGCACCCCCGAAAAGCCTTACAACTTAAGTCTTTAAAAGTAAGCTTAATTGATGGCACTCAAATTGAATGTAATTTATTCTAAAATATTTGGTGAATAATTATGATGTTTTGTAATAGAAAAAATGAAATAAAATTTTTTAAATGTTCGTGGAAAACTTCTTTGTGATAATATAACAGCTATAATTGACTAAATGATAAATAATTGAAATTTATCTGAGAAAAATATATGAAATTCGCAGAAAACATATTCGTTAGAACCGATATACCACAATATGAAATGAAATATTAAAGTGATGTTTGTTTTTACATAATAATGTATTAAATATATGCACACGTTTGGTTAAGGTAAGGCTCAAAAGTATTTTAGGCACTCCCTAATTAATTTGTATAGGGTATAAACAGTAAAATGTGATAAATCTAATCACATAATATATATATATTTTTTATAATTTCTGCACATGGGAATATCATAATTATTTTATTGAAATTGTTTTCAGTGATATCAATGGGTGTTTTAAATGTGTATGCATGTTTAAAGGAATCGAATACATATTTTCCCAGTCGTACATCCTACGTACAACTCGTCTGCCTTATTAACCGTGTACTAAATTGTGCAATCGTTTGGCTTCATTCGATTTGTTGTGACATTAAACTTAAACACGAGCTGCACATACGATAGGGATAGTGAAACCGATATTGTCGGAACGACGAACACCTAATTCCGGTGGAAATAATTGTCGGTGAATAACTCGGAAGGACACGACCGGTTCACGTCGCACAACGTTTCGGTGTTTGAGTGCCGTCGACAATGTTAAAAATGCCTGTTTGGATTTACGTGATTTACGGTGCACGTGTACGAAGTATCCGTTTTTCGCCCGCGTCGGAGAAGGCGATTTATTTTGTTCGTTTGACCGATGTAAGCGTCTCGTTGAATTTTTTCGATAGCGAAGGGACGTGTTTCGATCCATTGCCCGGTGGCGCAGGGTTTCGGCACGCCGTCGGAGGTGTCCCGTCCGTGGTACGCCTTACTGCCGGACCGCAGGAGTCGTTGCTCCCGCGAAGGAGGCGACGGTGCGCCCAGGCAATGTGGTCTGACCCTGCCCCCTCCATCCAGCACAAAATGCACGAAACACCGCACACATTGAATATGGGACAGACGCGTGGCGGTGCGCCGCGCAACCGGATGCAAATGTTTTCTTTTCCTCTCGGCCGTTATCAGCAATTAGTGGAACGGGCGCGCGACGTCGGCACCGCCCGGGCCCCCGTGACGAGTGTTGTTTGGCGCGAGCAAACACTAACGCGGCGGCGCCCGTCCGGGACTTTCGGAAGCAAAAACGAACAAACAAACGAGTCCCCGGGGGGGACCGTATATAAGAACCCGGACGACGTATGCAACCGGTATACCGTACGTGCACCCGGTCCCAACCGCTAACCGCGTGTCTCGTGTCCGCACTGTTCGCAGCCCTTTCGCGTACGGGTTAACACAAACCGGTCCGGAGAGAACGACGTGGACGGCACACGGTTTGCAAACCGTCGCGCATCGAACCGCCAGCGGAAGGAAATCGTTTGTGTTGCACGCGTTGGAAATGTTCGGGACGACATCGTGTTGGACGGCCGTGCTACTGGTGGTCGCCGCCGTCGCCGGTCAGACCGTTCCAGGAGACCGCGAGGACCAGCGCCAAGCCAAAGGTGTGCAGATGTTCGGTGCGTTCGATTTTCAGTAATTTTTTTTTTTTTTTTTTTTTTTTTATAAACGGGCGCGGGCGGGGGGCTTTTTTTTTTTTTTTTTTTTTTTTTTTTTTTTTTTAATAAACGCGTCCGGGACGAGATCGCTTGATTATTTATTTTTTTTTTCAATTTTTTATTCGTAAAACCTTACGAGAACACTATATAGCGGTCAACGGACGCGTTTCCGAGAACAATGTACACATTCGCGATTTGAAGTCGATGCGGTGCGAAACGATTTCGCCGAGAATTACAATAACGTTCCGTGTTCGTTTGAATTTTTATTTTATGTTGCGTTGTTTTGATATTGCGCAGGGTGGCATCTGATGGAAGGAGCGAAACGTTCTTGTGTCGGGCCCAACGGTCGCCCTGGAGTGTGTATGAGCCAGAACGATTGTTCAGAAATGAAGGGCAAATCGGTTGGACGGTGTTTTCCGTATGATTCGTGTTGTTCAAGTATGTCGAAAGTATCATACTTTATAGGCTCTCCTCTAACTCTCTAGAAGTTTCATCGGGGGACTGAATATTTTTATTTTTCACTTGCAAACCAATACTTTTTTGGTTTGTTAAAAAATCTACCAACATTTTTACATTATATGCATTTTAACGTTACTTTCATTTGAATATATTTTTAAGAGTTTTTTTGATTTTTCAATGAAAACGCTTTAATAGCAACAAAAGTTTTACGAGTACAACTGCAAATAATTGTAAGCGTGTACATCCAAACAATTGCGATTATTATTTTTAATCTTAAAAGACTCGAATCGATCAAATAATAAAATCTCAAATATTACGATTAATAACCATTGGACATTACCTAAAATATTTATTTAACCTAGTTCCGTTTAAAATCATTTTTTTAAATACTCTTCTACTGTTAATATATCTTATCTAGTGGTCAACTCAATTGCTGTACTTAACTAAAGGAAATGTATAATTTCCAACATTTCAATTACAATATTAATTTTAAATGTTAACTATACGGTTTCTTGTTTGATTAAATTTCTAACTTATTTATCAAAACGCAATGCTGTAACTTCTAGTAACTCCAAATTCGTGCGGTGGATATTCGGGTTCGAGTACAACGTATTTCCAAAGTCCGGATACATTTCAAGAACTGTGCACGTACAAGATTCACGTTAGACAAAACACTTGCCAGTTAAGGTATGGTTCAGTACAGCAGTATTATAGTATGGATTTCAGTGAAAATCTGAGCGAAATGTACTTGTATTCAATAACGAATTCAATTCTATTAAAATATTTTCAGAATCGATTTCGAAAGATTTTCTCTCAGCCAACCGACCAAACCTAATAACGAATCGGCGTACGTCTGCGAACACGACGAGTTTACCCTGGTGACGAACGGCAATACCAAAATGAACTTGCCTGTATTGTGCGGAAAAAATTCCGGCCAACACGGTAATAAATTCGGTTGTTAAAAAAAAAAAATAAAAATAATTCAAATCAAAATTATATATGCATGTTCTCGAATTATTTGTGCCTTATGCTACATACGCTGCGTGTGCATACAGTGTACGTACCGGTGAATGAACAAGCGTCGACGGGCTCGAAAACCAAACAACACATCACGTTGAAGTTCCGGTTGACGGCCAGAGACGAAGACTACACCGAGCAGGAACCATTTTGGAAATTGAAAATCTCGCAGCTGGAATGCCAAACGACATCGACCAACTGGTGGAAAATCAAGGACATCGCGCGTCAGGTTTGGGATTGGGAAGAGGAGGAAAGAGATGTTACGAAAACAAAATACAGCCTAGGTGGGATGTCTACACGGCAATTGTTTTTTACGATAACCGATCATAATCTTGCGTTTAATAGTTAAATAATGATGATTTTTCATACTTTTCTTTAGCGCCCGAAGGATGTCTTCAGTATTATACCGAGAAGGACGGTTCGTTCGAAAGCTTCAACTACAACAAAGGAATGGGGCATTATTTGGGTAATTTGAACTATGCGGTATGCTTTAAGCGCAATCAAGATACATGTGGAATCAGGTGAGCAATCGAACGCGGTATTACTTATCTGTCCATAAACTGTTCTGAACATATACGATATAAAGATAATAGTACCCCGCACAATGCTATTATTTCCATCGGTAATTCTTTGCCGACATCGATTTATCACATTTATTAACATCAGTATACTATACTATACTAAATACTTCCCCCCCCCCCCCCGAAAACTGCGATTATTACGTATTCACGATTTCGTTGAAAACATGATTATGTTACTGAGAACTTGGTTTCATTGACACAGGTACGAGGCAGTGAAATTCCAAGTGGCTTACAATCGGAAGTTGACCGGATCCACGGACCGGGATTGCGACACGGCAGCAGTGAACACGGGAACGACGACCAGGGCACCGCAAACGACAGAAACCACGACCGCGCGAATGACCACCACGGCAGCAGGGCAAACTACCCTTGGGCCAGATACTGTTACCACGACGGCGGGAACGACAACCACCGAAAATACCATGACCACCGTTGCTTCGGTAGTGGTCAGATCAGCGAGACGTCGGAAATGGTCATCCGACGTGCACAGCGACTACTTGCTCATACCCGACGGCCATTACTCCGGAGAGGTTTTCGCTTCGAAATATTGTGACAAGTCGCTAGAAACTCTGGACGATATCACAGGTATACGGGAATATTTCAGAACGTCCTTTTCCTTTGCATTATTTTCAGTCGTACGGTTGTGAACGGTGTATATTGACTGCAAACACTTGATTACTCGACGAGCCGGAAAACAAAAATATTTAATTCAATTTTCTGTTCGCACTCAATTCACTCAATCCTATTGTTTGAAATGTTCTCCTTACCATCCCCTTTCCATAAAATTTGTGCTCCAAAAGTCCTATTGAAAAACATCACGTTTAATAGTAATGAAAAATTAAAGCTTGGTTAAAAAACCGTTAAAAATAAATACTTCAACGTATGTATATTTAGAATTTTTTTTGATACCGTTGTATCTTATTATACATTATAATATTTCAACTCGGATATAAGACATGCCTATCCCGATCGAAAATTCGTTTGTTGTCATTTTTTCAGTATTATTTTGAAAATATCTTGATCAATCCCGTCATTTGTTTTCTTATGTTTCAGTCAAAACTCAAGGACCTCTCTACGTAGCCTTTGTAAGTGACGATTACTCAAATCCAGAAGAAGATGTGGAAAAAGGATTCAGAATCAATTATTCATTAACCAACACTGGTTGTTAGATATGAATCATATTTATTTAATAATTTAATCAACATTTAATAGTACAATAAAATATTTATTTGAAACAAAATCTCGTATTTTTACTTTTAACTCAACACTCACATTAATCCCTACTTGTCCGACTCTTATATATAAGCTGTATAAGCTATAATAAGCTATAGCTACATGGATAATATTGATATATTTTAATTGATTTATTATACTTATAAAAAGCCATAACTCTAACGTCGTCAATATTATTGGTAAACTATCAACTTAATTATTTATTATCCCAATAATACAACTTATTTTACACATCGTTTATCATAATATAATCTTGTGCAAATATTGTAAAATAAGTACCTGCCTATAAACTGGGTGGCTACTTTTATCTTATATACGGAAAATACATATAAAAAGGGTCGTTCGGAATGCAATTAACATTTATGCTGTCAATCCCATTTGTGTACAATTTTTCATTTATTGTTATTTCAAAAAGTTTAAATATTATTGAAACATCATGGTGTTTCAATTTTACGTTTTAATGCTGGGCTTATTTTTGCTGGTGACTAAAACATTTACTAGTCTTAGTAAGTAAATTAAGTTAACATACATATTAAAATTGTACAATAACCTAATCTCACATTAAAAACGATGTAAACAGTAATTATCTATAGTTAATAAAAATGTGTTGATTTCGAATAAAATAATCTTATAACCTGTATATTTTATATTTTTAAAGATTTTTTTTTTTTTTTATTATTTTAATGTACAAAGCAATAGTTATATTTTCTTAGAAATTTGATATTTTTTTTATCGAGTGCAGAATTTCAATAAAATACGTCTTAAAAAAAAACAGTTCTTATTTTCGGTTAACGGGTATAAACTATGGCATAAATGCTATCATATTATTTTCACATTTATCACTTGATTAAACAAATATTTTTCGATGTAATTATTTTAGAAGAATAGTGATTAATAAATTCATTGTATGATATTTATGATGACAAAATTCAAAACATTTAAAAAAAAAAAATGTTCGACGCAATCACGTATATTTTATGCCTAACTTGAAATTGTTTTCAAAGTTTTACCGAAGGTGTGTAGTCAATCAACAGATGCGCTTGATACAGTTTTTGAGAGCACGGGCCTAATCGAGCCGGGAGAATGCATATTCGAGCTTACATTAAAACCGAAAACTTGTGGTGTAAGGTTTGAACGTACATGATATAGATCGAACCAGTATCGTTTCTACGAATTCGATAACATTAATAAAATGAAATATTTGAATTAATTATACCTCACAGGATCGGATTCGATAAGTTTTTGTTCAATCAACCCGTCAAAAAGGATAGCACGTCTGCGTACGTATGCGCAGCGGATCTCGATTTGCTTGAGTTGAGTGGACTCGGATTGCCAAACATTGACTTGTCCGTGCTGTGCGGCGATTTATCCGGCCACCACAGTAAATAAAAAAAAAAAAAACTTTTCAGAATTTTATTTTTCAAAATCGTATTGATTCGATGTTTTTACGCAGTTTATTTGCCTACAAAGGACTATGACGAACTGTTGCCGCTTATAGATGTGAAAAAACTTATCCTCAAAGTGATCCACGTCCTCGTCCCCGATGCACCAACACCGTTGTGGAAAATTAGATTGACACAATTGCCGTGCCCGGGAGAGATTGAACAAGATAAAAAGTCAATATTCAGTTTACGTAAGTACCGACTAAGCCGATGTAGAATATTCTCACGAAAATATTGACAACGCGTTTATCACCCATATTAGTAAATCGATTATATACGAAACGCATACTACGTTTATGAAAGGGCCGATTTCACAATATCTCACGAAAATGTACGTTAAAACGACACAAAAAAATAAAAAATATGATATAAAACACAGTGATACATTTTTATGGTCTTGAGTGCCCACTAATTTAACATTTCAAACATAAAGAAAATAAGCAATAATGTTATTTATTACGGGTAAAGTATCGTACGGAAACTATATTATTAAGTAGGTGAATATGAATAAAGTAACAGTTTGAGTTTAGATTAGTGTACAATTCCCAACACAATAAACACGTAATAGTCAATATTTGAAAATAACAGATCCTTCTCGAAAACACTAAAACTCAGTGTCGCATGACTATATTTACAGCACATACGTATTGTGTGTTCTATTTTCTATAACAACTTCTTAAGTTTTTTATAGCACATTTTATAACTATCACACACTTTTGTAATAACATCCTATACTTATCTATGTTTAGTGCTTGACATTTCCATCTTATGACGCGCAATAATGTTAATAAATGTCATGACTTTTCAGCCTGTAAACACTCAATGTTAAGTGATTTTAATGTTTTTAAATATTAATAATATGAACCATAATTTATAATAATTTGTATACAATTTTATTATGTTTATACTAGTTAAAATTTAAAACTTATATTGAAAAAAATAGAAAAAAAATTGTCTATAAATTAATACAGATAGACAAGTAATTTCTTTTGGACACATTTTTATGATTTATATTTCAGAATATACATATATTAGAACAAGTATTTTACAACCTATATGCTATAAATATGATTCAAGTACTTTGGTAGTATTAAAAGTATTTAGTTGAAGTAGTAAAACTATAATACAGCACTATAAAATTAAACAAGTGTTAACCATATACTCGTACTTTTATATAACTTTGAACAACCTAATTCAGAAGTATTCTGCTGCGATGATAAACAATGTGTTAGCGTCATACCAAAGCACTCTAAATAGACTAATCAAAATGGGTCAGCTTATTAATTTAAATTCGGTGCTGCTCATTAGATGCTACATTCGCTGTTGTATTGAAGACTAAAATTGAGAATTAATTAAGACTAATTAAACTGGTTATGTACGTTGTATATACATTTATATATATACGATTAGTATTTTGCGTATTTCCATAAGAAAAATCGTATTTATTTTTTCGACAATCGTACGAGATCGAAATATTTCTATTCCGTACCACTGAGAGTTTGCAAATTGCACATTTACTTTTATGGACGCAAAATGTAATATTACTGCGTCCTATCGATTTCATCAGAGCATTTATTTTGATACGAATTCACGAACCATACAAATTACTCATTGAATGACAAATTCTGCCTGACAACAGCGAAAATGTATCGATAATTTGAACAATAAACTATGAACAATAATTCTTTATTTTAGCTCCGATGGGTTGTTTACAGTTTCACGAAAAACCAGAAGGAATAATTGAAAGCTTAAACTTCGCAAACGGCAAGGGACATTACATGGCTGAAATGAACTATGCTATATGCATCAAACGACAACCGGACACATGTGGAATTAAGTAAGCCTTACTCCAAGTCACGTTATGTATATTTTAAGATGATACTTGCCTCACAGCGTTGATACATTTTTCAGCCAAGAAACTACACCCTCATGTTTTTAATGCAATCGATTTGATTGGTAATGTAAAAGTATAAACATCTAGAATATATATATATTTAACTCTAGATGCAATTAATGTAATTTAACTATTTTCAGGCTTTATTTTATACGTTATTCTTTTACTCACATTGATTTAATTTGAACATTAAAAAACTTTTTAACTTATCCTCTAAAATAAACATTAATATTTAATTTAAACAATTAGAAAAATATGCGGAGTATATAACAAGCGTTTTATATTTTGTTTCAGTTATTACTTTTTTTTTCACATTCATAAAATTCTATGTAATAATATTTTAATACAAAATATCACTATGTCATTTATTACTAATTAAACTCAAATCCAACACTGACATTTAACATGAAATACTTAACTACATAATAGGACTATATAGATCCAAGTGAAAATATTAACTTAAAATAATTAAAATAATGTAACACGTTGTATATCATATTTCACTCGTACCACTGCTTTTATTAATCTTCATGTCTATAGATTTAAACTTCATACACAATTATGTCAATACAAGTATAATAATAATATTACTGATTTTCTTGCGATATATTTGAATAAATAATGTAAACTCTACACTACAGTTATGTTTTCGAATTTCAATCGTTTCTCGATAAACTATTTTACTTGTTGAATCGTAAATTATTTAGGTTTCAGGCGTTAGACTTCCAGCTTGCTAGTAATGCCAATTCATCAGATTACACAGAACGAGATTGTGATTCGCTCGGTTTAGGTGTCGACGTCCTGGGAGTTAGTAAATTGCTTAACAAGGACTATGTGATCATTCCCGATGGCGTGCGCATTAACAATGGTTTGAAAACTTACGCATCCAAGTTCTGCGGCTCATCACTAATGAAACAAGAAGTTATTGGTGAGTTAACGATAATTCTTAAATATTCTATTCAATCGTCTATAACAGCGGTTCCCAAAAACAAAAAAAAATTGAATCGTGTATCCCATGAATAAGCAAAACAACATTTTTTTTATTATTTTAATAAAAGCAAATTACGATCAATCTTAAAATAAATATATGTTAGTGTAATACACAATATATATATATTTGCCATGTTCTTGCGCTTCCCTATGGAGGCATGCCTTAAAGTTTGGGAACCACTGGTATATACCATTTTAAGTAAAAATACACACGAGCGCAAATAATCACTCAATCACTATATGTGACTTCGCTGCTATGCGCTACTCACATTGTCGTATTTATAAACGACACGATGAAAATAGTTTTTTACATTTATTAATTGCAACACGGATTGCCTTCGGTATTTTATAATATTGTAAATATATTCAAACTCTGTTCTAAGTACCTACGGTTCTCAAGACGATTACAATACTAACAGATGTCAAGGAGGCATCTGTTATTTCATTTATAATAATAATTTAAAAAATCTTGTTTTTATTTAAAATTTCAGTTGTAACAAAATGTCCACTTTATATTGGCGTTGTCACCGACAAACTAAACGATGTGAATCAAAAGGAAGTAGGATTCAAGATTAAATACCAACTACTGAACGATTGCACACTATTAGATTTGTAATTCGATTTATTTGTTTATTCACATATTATCCAAGTAGTAGCATAATATTTAACAAAAACTAACATATAAACTAAAAATTTAAGTGACAACAATTATAAGATATGAATATTATGGCTAACAATAATTTGATAAAATTAGTAAATAATAAGAATCTCACTTCTTTTTCTTGTAATTCGATGTATCTATTCTATGCAATACAATAAGCACATTCAATGTTATACGCATACGCACACTGATAACACACTGATACATAATTGTTGAAACTGGAAAATACATAAGAAATATTAAACCATACTGGGTATAAACTTCTTTTATTTTTTTTTAAAACAATCTGCATTTTATCATAAAAAAATGTATGAATGCGAGTGTATTTGATGACTTGGATATACATTACGAACGAAACGTAATATCTCGTAAATCGACGACCATTCAACTAAAATTACCAATTTTAAGTTGCATTATATATATCTTATCGAAAACAGTGAGTATATAAATACTTTAAATACGTACATAAGTATTACATTATATTTTTCATAAGCTAATTCGATTATTAATTGTAATAAGTACGATTAATAATGACGGGATTTAATTACATTGAATTGTTTTCCTAGTGGTATCGAGAGATAGGCAACTAAATGTTCATCAAAAAGTCGAAATGGATATTACGCCCACTACTACAACACTATTAGCAGAAAAAAAAACATACAATAACGGCAAGTTTCACTAGATTATTTGTGAAGAATTCCTTCCGATATGTTTTGAAGGAAATATCCCGTTGATCCCTATTATATTGTATTATATTATATTATATTATCATAATAAGTACCAAATCCCGTGACGTCGAATATTCTTCGATGTCACTAACAAAAGCGTTAATTTTTCTACCGACGGCGGAGACCACTTTGCTTCAATTCCATAAGCATGTTATTGATACAGTAGGGTGTAGGCTGTTTACAGATTTTCACGATTTCCGAAGACTTCTGGGATGGCGCTTAGAGCATTAAAAAAAAAATATAAATAAACGATCTTTAGTCGACTAACGTGAGATAACGGACGGCGAGACATTCGGATCGCTCAGAACTCGGATTTATAATTCTTGTTCTTCTGCGATTTCGGTACGCGCTCGGGAGTTGCCCCCGTCCGGTAACGAAAGTACCGATCGCGCGACACGTGCCACGAGAGAAAAACATTTGGTCCCGGTCGCGCATCGGTTTCGTGTTTTGTACACGCGATGGCCGTTGTTCAAAAGTCGCGCGTTGGAAAACGTCAGCCATTCTTCTCGCCACCAATGGATCGGCCGTGCCGTTCGAGGCGTTTTCAGTTGGTTCAGTCGTCGTTCCGGAGGGACACGACCTCGGCGGAACCCTCGGAAAAAGCCGTAACGACGAGGGGCGACGCTCACACTTCTGTCGCGCGTTTCGTCTCCGCGTAAGGGTGCACGTGGCAACTGTTGACACCCCCAGACGCGAACGCTGAACGCCGCAGTGCATTGAACGCAAACGGTTTAAAATATTTGTTCGCGAACACTACTAGCACAACGACGCACGTGTGTGGTTGGACAGAAAACGGTGTCGAACGGTTTAAGAAATATATCGAAGATAATAATGATAGTGTATAATCGTTGTGGAACCGTGCACTGTTGATACATCATAAGACTATGCTTTAAAATAAAACCGAGAACACCGGTATTAACTGGACATAATAACATATATATGTATTGGTTATAAATTTTAATTTATGTAGACTCTATTAAAACAATAATAAATACTTAATAAAAGTTACATTTATATACCATTAAAAGAGTAATGTATTTATGTTATGATGAACCTAAGTAATATTTCCGAAACTTTAAATGTGCCAAAGCCAATTTCATGTATGTTTTTCAAATAAAATTAATATATACCATGTTTTAAGTTTAAAACTATGAAATATTGAAACGAAATATATACAATTAAATACAAAATTTAAGAAAATTAAGAATTATACACAGTTTTTGTCATTTGTTGTCTTGACCACTTATATGTACATATATACACGTGACAAAATACCTATATGTTTTTAAGTTGAATATATGTATGACATATTTCAAAATGTAATTCTTTTTATTACTTTTTTTTCATAACTCAAATTTGATATAGGATAAAATTTATAATTTTCTCAAAACCTTCTCTAATTTTGTGTCCATAATTGTATTTTTCTTCTTTTTTTCATTCGTCTTTTGTGTTTATTTAAGTTATTTATGCCCTTTCTTTATTCTTAAGTTTGTTGAAATTTAATTTAAATTTTTTATTGACTTTTCAATTTGTTAATTTTTGAGATTAATTATTTTACGAGAACTGCCTTCTGAAATCTGTTGTAAATATTAATATGATGCTTTTTTCTTTAAATTTTTGTATTATGCGGTGTCCATATAAAGATTTGGTAAAATTCTATTTTGTTTATCAGGTGGTTTTTGATATTAAATTAGGTGTTTGATAAATAATAAATGAGAGCTAGACGAAGACAAGAAAAGAAAAGAGAGAGAGGAAAAATACAAAATTGTGGAATAATTATGATTATAATGTAAACAGAAGACGGGATTATAATAAAAAATATATAATAAAATATATCTTATATTATCTTATGATTATATCTTAATACAAAGTACAATTATAATGATAAACCTAAGTTTTATAATATTTTCAAAACCTTGGGAAGTACAAAACAATTTTGTATGATAAATAAAAGAAACACCTTATTGGAAAATACCTTTACATAAATTAGAATACTATCCTTACCCAAAGAAAAATATTACTATCTTTTTAATAGCTGTAATAAAAATATATATCCTATAAATGACAGTTCACCCATTAAGAATTATGAACTTTAAGATATTTATTAATATTTATTTATATAACACAATTATTTATGAACCAAAAAAAAAATTAATACACACATCTGCACTTATTAAGATAAAAATTACAGTACAAGAGTATTATCAACAGTAATAGAACATGTAGGTATTGAAAAATACGCAATAATAGACACCGGATCAAATATTTCATGCATAAATGATTCTTTAATTAAAAATATGAATAACAATAAAAATGAGGAAAAAGTTGTTATTACAGAAGCGTGTAATTTAAAATTAAAACACATAAGTAAAACAAAATTAGTGGGTAAAATAAATAATAACATATACAACAATTGTCTTATTGACGGAAAATGCGAATTGATAAATAAATAAATAATAAAAGTCCATACTTTTGCTAAATTAAATTAAAAATTAAAATTAAAGTTAAATTTATACTATTATGTCGGTAGAATACCTATAAATATGCAAATGAAATGTATTAAAATTTGACTAGTTTCAATGTTTATGATTTTAGAATGGCAAACCATGTTTTATTTTTTGTCCAAAACAATGAATATTTTTACGAGGTTATGATTAAAAATATATATATATTTTTTTTTTAGTGAGTCTTTTAATGGTATGACTAAAATACATTTTAATATTATTGGTATATTTTAATATTTTTATGGATTTTTAAATTAAAAATATATACTTTTAAACGAAATAACATTTGAAGTTGAAAAACGTTATAACTTTATTAATAGTATAAATTATATAAATGGTATTTATGATATATGTAAAATAGTATATAGAAAAAAAACAATTATTATTAGGAACAAACATAAAAAACACATATGATCATGGTTAAAAAATTCAAAAATTACAAGGTCCCACCGAGATTTGAACTCGGATCGCTGGATTCAAAGTCCAGAGTGCTAACCATTACACCATGGGACCGAAGCTGTCGACATTTTTGAATTCAAAGTTATATAAGTAAAATGCTGAAATACTTATAAACTTGACAACAAAATTTAAATTTTTAACCCATTATAAATCATCCAAAACATTTTATACTATTCAGTGGCGTATTTAGAAACTTATTTCGGGGCTGATATCATACCTAATTGTGAAATAATTTTATAAATCAATAAAAAATGTTCTTTATCAACTTATTGTTTAAATACTAAATAATAATTAATAACTAAATTAAACGTATGATCGTATTAATCGTATTTTGTATTACTTAATGTAGCGCATAGATGCATAATGAATATATGTCAGTATACTGACAACTGACAAGACGTGACAGTCACGGACTAAGAAATTGATATTCTCATCGACTGATAATTTCCTCACATCAAATTATTTATATATCATGTATGTGTGAGTACCGTGGCATGTCGTGCAGTCGATTGTTATTATTATTATGCGATTACAAATTAATTATTAGCAATATTAATATTTATATATATATATATATATATATTTTTTTTAATTTTTAATATAATATATATATATATATATATATATATATATATATATATATATATAAATAATTAAATATTTAGTAATTTACAAGTTATTTTAAGTTTTGGTAGGAGGGCTGTAGCCCCCCCCCCCAGATTTTTTACTCTAGTTGCGCCTATAGTCTAATTGTGACTTGACTGTCGTAAGTTCCATAGTGCTGTTGACATGGTTAATTATTTTTATTTATTTTTTTACGTACTCTGCTTAATGAAGTGATTTAAAGAAAAATTTTTTAAATTTAAATAATTTATACCGCAATAGTCCTGTCTTATGTGACTGTCGTTTTAAGTTCTATAAAGATAGAAATAAAAGATTGGACGCGATATTGGAGATTGCAGTTACTTTTGAAGTGGAAAAAGAGGAAATTGAAAGACATTTTTTTTTTCGTTCTCGATAATAATAACAGCACATGTAGCTATTGTTAAATCGTTATTGAAAAACATAAAAACTTAAAAGACAGAAAACTTAAAAAACTTAGAAAAAAACAAACGTACCTAGGTTAAAGCATAACCACATAAATGACATTAAATTGATTCCCGAGTTGTTCATAGGTAACATTATACGAGTTGATTCCCGCAAGCTTTCATGATAATACTACCTTGTTAAATTAACTCTTCAATGTATTATGTAATAATAAGTCATAATAGGTAAATAATATTAGAAAAATATTAGAGTGCTATGAATTTAAAACACACATTTTTAACAAACTATAGGTTCGAAATTTGGCCCTCTTTCGATTTTTTAATATTTTAATCAATAAACTTTTTCAGCAATTTTTTTTTACTTTAAGTGAGTTTCTTTGTTTATTATATATATATATATATTTCGCATTGCATCGCTTTTAATTGTTTAATAATAAAAAAATATTTGGGTGGGCGGAAGAAAATCTAGAATTCAGTTTTCCATGAAACTATTCGCAACATATTGTTGATAG